TAAAAAATTTATTTTTTTATATTAATTAGTGGGGAATGGGGATCCCGTGGAGAACGGGAATGGGGGCAAAATTTGCCCCTGCTAAAAATCCCCGTGGGAATTCCCGTTCTTGCCATTCACGGGATGGGGACGGGGACGGGGACGGGGACGGGGACGAGGACGGGGACGGACTCTCCGACCCCGCGAGGCCCCGTTGACATCCCTATTCGGGTGTGAGGGAGAAGGCCAGGGTGTGGGGGGAAGAAGAAGGTTCTGGAGAGCAAAGATTTAACTTTTTTTTTTTTTTTAATCTGATCAAATGGTTTTTTTTTTCTTTTTTTTGTTTTTGTTTTTGGGTTTGTTTGGGATAAATGGGTTTGGTATTTGAGCTTGGGTTTTGGGTTTTGTGTTTTAGTGGGTTTTGGTTGGGTTTGGGCTGATTTTTATGGAGTTGGGCTGTTTGAGATGGGTTTGAGAAATGGGCTAGATTTATAGCTTAAAGGATTTCATCTCCCAACTTTTGATTTCTTCAATTGAGTCCTTTCTTTCTCCTTCTCTCACTTTTTCGTGAAATTTCCCTTTGCTTGCAAACCTAACAATGAAAGTAAAAACCAAACATATTAATAAAAATAAAAATTTTAATTTAAAAATTTTGAGTTATGACAATCGGTAAACTAGCATTTTATCGACAAGAAACATGTTTGCAAAGATAGAAACAGTTAAAATAAGAGTAATTTATATTATTTAAGGTTCGGATAAAATCTTTGTCGATAAATTTCCACTATACACACGTGCTCCTTGTTGGTAATATTTTACAATATTCAATCTAGTGGGTTGTGGACCAATACCCTAATTACTGACAAAGAGCACACCTGTAATCTGCATTTACCAACAAGATATATGTCAGCAATTGCACAATGCCCAATCCACCCATGAATCTAGCTACTAGTGCCTAGTTTTGCAACTTTGTCCAACTTACTGACAAGATTGTAGTCGATAAGTTGTTATTGCCAACTAGAATTGTCTCAGTGATTACCTTAGTCAACTAGCATCTTGAAGCAATGCAAAGATGATAAGCTTTAAATGGTGGCAATGTGCATCTCATTGGTAAAGGTCACCTCTTATTGCCGAATCTCCCTTCACCTTTCATTTTTATCTTCCTCCTTTCATTTTCATCTTCCTCTTTTGGAAGCAAGTAGTCCTCGCTCTCCTTTCCTCCATTCTTTCCTTTGAATCACTTTTGACATTTTTCTTCATACAGTGGGTGGATCAAGTAGTGGTAAGTGAAACTTAGGTAATATTATTATTTTTTTATATATTTTGACATTAAATTTATATATTTTATGTATGTTTTATTTTTTTTCTCAAATTTAAACTATCAAATATTGTCATTAGTTCATTGGATATTAG